TTTATGATTTCTGCAGTTTTCAATTTTAAAACTAAGGAAATTGAAAAACAAATTTCCTGAAATCATTTTTAGGATTTATTGACTTTACCGCTGTGAAAGTGAAAATGTTCATTGGTTAACTTGTCAATTCGAACAGTTGTGTCTTGCTCTTAGTGGTTGATTGATAACTGTTTCCGTGAGCGTCATTTTCTGTATTAGTCGTGTAAGTGTAATGCTTATCTTTAACACAGGGAGAGGCGGCAACCTACCCGCTGACATCCGGGTTTTCCTCCAAACAAGTACCTCCCAGCAGCGGGGCACGACCCCTGCCGGGACAAGCCCTAAGCTCCCGACTGGTTTCCCGGCATGTAAGGGTGCGTGTGTGTAAATAAAGGGTGAAGACAGGACAAGGAAGAGAAAGGAATGTTCGGGCGCGGTCCGTGACCCCTTAGGAAAGGTACTGCTCCGGCATTCGCCTGGTGTTGATCGGAGAAACCACAGAAAACTACAGATTAGTCGCTAGAATATTCATCCAGATAGAGGCTGAATTCGACTAGCTTTATAGCGTGTCGAACCCTAGGGCCTCCCGTTAAGAGGCACTTCAGTGATATCAATTGATGGCCTTAGCCACCTAAGCCAGTCCGCTCTTATTGGCGCTATGACGACCACCTTAAGGCGTCTCCACACATGCAGCATTCGGCGAATCCCGAGTAGTGTGGTCGGGGTGCTTGCGATTCGCCGAGCGCCGAACGTTCGGAATTCGCCCTACCCAGCGCGTGCCGATCTTTAGGACACCTAAAAGGTAGCGAACATTCGCCGAACTCATCAGCTGTTCGGGACTGGGCGAGCAGTAGCTCGCTGCTCGGCGAATGCCGAATGAGTGGAGCGGCCTTTGGAAATGCAATTCGCCTGGTCGTGCCTAAGGGCCCGCGTTTGAGTTTTGTGGCGCGGGCGGGTGGCATCATGTCCTTCGTGTTCTCTTGCAGGCGAGAAGCGCCTGCCTGCTCGCCACGATGGCAGCGGTGGCGCTGGCGCAGTTCCCCGGCCAGCTCCAGGGCTTCCCGTCCCCCGCGGGGCCCTCCCCCGCGCCTCCCGCCGGCGTCCACGGCGCCGAGCACTCACAGGTATGCGGACATACAAATACAACTTGAAGGATCGACACCCTTGGTTCGATTCCGATGGAGTCGGTATCGATACTGACTAATCGATAATTTTGTAGTACTCCTACCAAAACCCCAACTCTATAGTATCGGGGTCGAAAAAGTAACTGTCGAACATGAAATAACGTATGAAATGTGAAGTGAGAAATAGTTGAAAGCCACGCCGGTACAGTTTTAAGATTCAGCTCGTATAATATATAAGATAATTCAAACGGGTGTTATTAAGCCATAAGAAAAACGTATGAAAATTGTAGCATTGAATTAAAAGAGGGTTGCTTAGAGAGGGTTGTGGATTTCTTAACTAGGAAACTCAAAATTGTGGTTTATCATTATTTTGCACTGTTGCCTTCTTAATACATTAAATAGTAATCCATTCATATTAAAACTGAGAAAGGTGTGCGAAATATATTAATTATAACTCACAAGTTACAATAATTACAAATGACAATTATTAGAGTACATAATTATTTAGCTTAGTGTGGAAACCCAGTTGGTATTTCTAAGTCAAATAGTTTTATTTGTGCTATGCAAGTTCATAATAAAAATACCGTTATGCAAAATACAAAATACTTGTTGTGTGGCTCGCCCACCCTTAAATAAAAGAAATGTCTAAAACACGTTTAAAACAATAATTGTGTTATTACAAATTAGATTAAATTATATTGTCAATCTGATGAATCAAGTTCAAACTCGTGTTACGTTGCAAAACTCGGTATAGTAAATCACAGTGTTGAATAAGTTGCTTGAAAATTCCAAAAACACGTAGGCTCATGCTGCAATACAATTTATTCATTTTAATGATTATCTCATAATATTTTTGCTTGAAAGTTTCGTGACAAATTAAAATTAATAGTTACTAAAAAAATTTAGAGAGGCGCATTTTCTTTATTTTCTTCCTCGTGTATCCGCACCTTTTTTATAGAAGTTTCCCGAATATTATAGATGGATCCGGCTAAAGTGTCAATCGATTCTTGTCAAGAGGATTTCCGAGAGAGTGTGCGCGAAATTCCCATAATACAACATCCCCCAAATTCCCCTTTGTTCGTCTAGAACTGCCAACTGACACTGAACTGCCAATCACTTCACGTATATTATAATTATTATATTAAGAAATAAATATAACTAATAGCTAGAACCCAGAAGTTCAGGCATTTATTTTAGCTAAAATAGGCAGATAAAGGGATTTATTTTTACTAAACTTTGCATACAAAACAGCATATATCCTAGCTAATGTAGAGCAGGATTGTCCAATGTTTCTTACAAACATCCGCCATTACATGGCTATAAATCCGCCCAATTCCGCCCAACAAGAAAAATTCAACTTTTCAAGCGGGAAATTTGAACTTGCATTAAAATAATTTTTGAAGTTTTAAGTTTTTGAAGGTTGTTTGAGAAGTGACCCTATTAAATGCTGCATCTGTTTTATTTTTTTAAATATTGTAATTAATAATGTATGTAAAAAGTATACGTTTTGCAATAATAACTAATATCTTAATATTTAAAAATTAGTTATGACTATTCTGATGACTACAACAGATTGGAGGAATATTTTAAGGAATAAAATAATTTTTCAAATATATCATTTTAGTTATCACATTGTCATATGAAATTGAATTTTTACTTATCAAATTGAACTCAGTTTTAAATGGCTTGTTCTAAAATTATCTGCAATTACTACCAATTTGATATAATTTGCACTCATGTTGGGCACGACAAAGAAGCTATGACTTTTAGAACACGCCCTACTAGGGGTCTAAATTATTCTACTCCTGGCATACGACATCTAACATTACTCACTTCTCAAAGTAAATTTGAAAGAATTAACAATTTATTCATGAAAAATCATGTATAAAGTACAGATAAACAACAACTAAAAAATTAATCTCACTGTCAGATGTGGACTCCGTTTTGAACCTTGAAATAACATCAGTGAAAAGGGAATTATATATTTCGTGCTCGCACTTGTGTAATAATCACCAGCATTGAGAACGGTATATCATACACGAGAACTGCCCTCAAAAGGGATTAGATACCTATATTAAAAGTAGGATGTGATTCCTCGAGAGCAAACGAAGTCTGACGGCATAAATGAAAAAAAAATAAAAAATATGGCTACTATCATCTTCCTTTTTCATTTAGATTTTTAACACAGCCACTGCTTCCACAGAAAGACAATACATGAAGCTGCCTTCGTGTTGCCCAGGTCTGCAGGCATATATTCAGCTTGAACAAGATTGGTGCCGAAAAAAACAAAAACAAAATAATGGAGTAAAAGACAGAAAAAGGCAAAAATAAGACAAAAAGTGACATCAAAAACTAAATTAGGCAAAAAAGTCAAAATAAAAATATACTAAAACAACTCCAGAAGTACAACTACGCGATTTGTTTTGATTAAAGTCGTAGAATAGAAAAAAAATAACAACAATAAGACATTTTGCCAAACTTCCGGGCTATACCAATAATATTTATATAGATAAGTATGTATACAGATTAGTGAAACCAAATTGATGTTGTATCACGGAAATATACGATATAATATATATATTGCATACACCCCTACATTAGCTAGAATAAATGCCTCTTTTTAACGCCAATTTTAGTAAAAGTAAATACCTTTTTGCCAGCCTATTTTAGGTAAAATAAATACCTGAACTTCCGGACTCTAGTTATTAGTTATTTTCATTTAATAATATATAATATATATTCGTATATAATATACATTCGCAAAATCAGTAACTCTTCCTCTGCTGCCAGTGTTGGAAACGAATTCGATATAGCATGACTGAGTGATCGATTAGTAAGCGATATAAGTTTCCCGCTAAATCCGGCTGATTAGCGGGCTCCGCTATCATTCCGAGTTGGAATTGGCGCACGCGCAGAGGCTCAAAAGCGCAGCCGACTGCCGTCCGCTTTCCCGTCCCAAAAGTCCCAATTCCCGCCGCAGGCGGCGTTGGAGAACTCGCTGTCCGCCACCAACTACCGCACGGACGACGGCCAGCAGCGCCTGGAGAGCGTGGACGGCCAGGGCAACGTGCGCGGCCAGTACAGCTACGTCGACCCCACCGGCAAGACCATCACGCTCAAGTACACCGCAGGCAAAGACGGCTTCCAGGTTCGTACCCATGCATCCATGATTCATTCTGCGAGATCACGGCCATTGGCCGTCGTTTCGCACCCGACAATTCGACTCCGAACTCCCTTTGATTAATTGATTCTGGGCACGTCAGCTAAGTTAATTGGTTCCGCAAGTGTAGTGCATGTGCTTTTCTCGGGAGGTAACTGTGATCT